CGGATATGTTGGCAAATACTTTTTGCACAGTCTATGACCAACAACGGCGTGATCGAGCATGGAAATTTTATTTTTTGCTTTTGTTTTGTTTTCCTATATACGTTAAGGGATCTGATGACCAAAAAGATGACGAAAAACAAAATGATAAGTAGGGGATGGCTTTTTCTTCGATGCAGCAGGAGCCTGTCGAATCGCTACAGTCACCGGTATCAGGAAATACGTCAGTTTGACTCCTCCCGAATATGTCAGCGAGGAAGGGAGATGAAAAGCACCCCAGGCTGTAAGTATACCTACATCAGCTCGCAGGACTAAATCGACATCTTCTCAATACTCCTTTCCCCTTCGCGCATATTTTTTTTTTTTTTTTTTTTTTTTCACCCGTCGCGTGACAGGTATACACTACGCATACTCCCCCTTGGAGCTTTTTTCGCTAAAAATGTAGATTCCCGCGTACGTTTACCTAAGCGTCCCGGGCGATATTCACCTCTGATAAAAAGAAGAAGAAAACGAGTCATTCCCGGCCCATATCGGAAATACACGCGCCCATGAATATGTAAGCCCCGGAGCTGCAGAAATTTTCAGGTGTATGGCTCCGTATATATATACATATGCGATTCCCAACTCGGTACACATTCGCCTAACGCACTTACGGAAGCGCGCGGAATTCGCGACTCGGCGCAAGAGCTAAGAACCAAAGTTTGGAGGGAGACGCAACGTGTTGCAATAATACGAGCCCGATTCGAGTTTAGGGTATATGTACACGGTCTATCCTGCACGTGTAAGTACATAGGTACGAGAAAGAAGCGAGACGCTTGCAGCTGATGCACTTGGTGAAGCTGGATACATACATATACATTCATTTATGCATCACTTGGGTTGGCGAATCCATCGCTCCTCGAGACGCGCACACACGTGTGGGGGAAAGCTCGCAAGTTGAGGGTGCCTTGGAGTAGGACGCGCCGAGATTGCCTAGAAGCCTTCGGTAGGTAGATTGGGTTGGTTAGTCGGCTGTTGGATGGGCAAACTAGAAGAAGAAGAAGAAGAAGAAGGGGGACAGAGGGGCAGAGGGGGCAGGGTGGCGCATAACGTGCACACGTATCGGAGCGCCGAGGAGGCAACTTCGATAATCTTCCGTCCTTTGGCCTCCTACCCTCACCTCGTCGTAGTCGCCGTATACATTTGCCACCCGCCAAAGTTTGGCAATCAATGTGCGAAGTAACAGTTTAATTAAATACGCTAACCCATCGACGAGGAGCAAAGCTATGGAGAAGCCGTTATAATCTTCCCTCTCTCTGCCTCCCTCTGTGGGGCAAAGTCGCGGCACAGGCTGCGGGAATCGCTTTTGAGACGCTTGTAATATATAGAGGACGGGAATAGGTATATCCCATTTCGCCAACCAATGTTGCTCGCGATGATTTTCAAGTGCAGAAAACAATGAAATAGGTATACATCACCGTTTTTTTTTTGCTCACGTTGATTTTTTGTTCAGTACAATATTTTTAGATGAGATAATAATAGGCATCCATTACGCACCCAAGGCAAACCATTGCAAGAAAAATGCCAAGATGCATATATATATATGAATTCGGAGAGGCGTAGTCCTTGAGACGCATCACCACCTGCCCTTAATTGCCTCGTTCATGAGACAACAGCTATTAGAGTTTCTGTTTAGCATAAAATAGAAGACCTAGAAACACAATAGGGGCCTTGAGGCGAAACACCTTTTCTATGCCGGTGAAAACATACCTAAGGCACAAAAGGGGTTCACTAAAAACGTACGCAGCGCGCGATGCATCTGCTCCGCGAGAGATACAGAGCGTGTCTTGTAATCTCTCTTTCCCCGGAATTTCTTGGTTCCCAAGGACGAGATCGAAAATACGAGAAAGAGGCCGCGTCAATCGCGGTATATACACGTACACCTGACACGCGTGACGTCAGGTGGGCGTGTGTATCGGAGTCGTTGTCTATGAGAGCGATTAGAGAAGCCCCCCCCCCCCCCAAAAAAAAAACCCGTGAAGAAGACCAGAGGCACAGTATGTGGATAAAACTCGGGCGTCACGCGTTCCCGGAATCGTGTCTTGGATGCTCCGTTTTGGAAATCCATTCGCATACGGGCGATGGGATATTACACGTGGCAGCTGGTGCCCCAGATAAATTCACCCCTTTGTTCCTTTCGACCGTCTCTTTCGAGGAGCCTTTTTTTTTTTTTTTTATCGTACAGTCATCGCTCGATCACTCCTGCTGCGACCGAACTGGTGGTGGGTAAATATATATATTGCTGGCCTCATGATTTTCTACTCGGTTAAACGAAATGTACAATTTTATGTTGTACAGCATATAGGGGTAGCTTATCGCTACGCGTATGTATATAGCCTCGACAAGGAAATGGAAAATATTTCTCGAGAATTATGGCGTGGAAATATTATACCCATGAATTATTTCCGCTCATCCGATGAAATAAAAGGTAAAGTAATGAAAATGTGTTGCTACCTATTATATTACGTTGTGGTGAAAGAAAATGCAATCAAAGATGGAAAAACGTCCACGTGTCTTCGTAATGAAATTTTACGGGTAAAAATAGCGGAGAACCAATTGGACGATAAAACATGGAAATATCGCATCGATCTTCATCAAAGCCCGTGGGTTGGAACATCCCGCTCAAAAGACTCCGACTTAACATCACCGTGTGCTTCACAAAAGCCCTTATTCTCCTTGCCATGAAACACCGCTTGGACAATGCACCCACACTCCCCCCAAAACATCCCAAAAATAAACTATACAACAGCCATCCCTTAAAAGTGCCGATGATGATGCGTTTGCTCCGGGTGTGATCATCGATCACGCGCAGACACGCGGCGTGGGCGAGTGCACGTACAGGGTGGAGGCCATTGTCTGCGCTCACATGCGAGTACGGACCTAAGATGCGGATGGCCATGGCGTTTGGTTAAAAATCATCGGATGAGTGGCCATTCGGGCCGTAAATTACGAGCACATCGGTGATATGGCGACATGCAAAGCCGAGCGGCGTTCAAGAGAGTCGCCAGGAAAACTCGCGGACAAACGCGAAATCGCGGCGCGTTACTCAAGCGCTGTCCGATGGATACGGGCTCCTCTGTGAGCTATACATATACATGTGTGTGCAAGGATGCGTGTACCGCGCGCGCATAACGGTGAAGTAGGAGAACCGAGAAAATTAAATGAAGGAGGGAGGCGAAAGATTGAGCGACGAGGACGAGGTGGGGTGTGCCGTTACTACCATATAATATATAGGCAAAGTGTTTGCGGAACTTTCGAGGCGCGGATCGGGGCGATAATCGAGGGTTTGATTAATCACGTGCAGAGTTGATATGTATTTCATTACTAGCCGCATAATTATTAAAGCTATTAGCCCAACGGCCGAGCCAAAGCTTTTGTTTTCTGTCGCGCGGGAACAGCCACGCGATGAAATTCATTTGTACACGAGCGGACCCAAAGAGGGGATGGAAAAATTACACTTTGCAAGGTCGATTGTCTTTTTTTTTATTTATTTTTTTTTTTTTTCACCCTCGATAGGTGTGAACTCAGCCACTCGTATACACAGAAGAGCGATAGTGTACTCACACCCTGCCCCCGCATTAGCGTGGAAGCGTGAAGAAGCGGGGCTCTCGTGTGTCACGAAAGTGACGTATCGAGCGAAAGACGCCCGCGCGTATCGTGACTCAGCCGAAACCGCGTAATAGTGCAACGTAACGCGCGGAGACTGCCCGCTGCCCCGGCGATCAGGAGCGTTGCTAATTTCGACTTTGTGGAGTAGGTATACGAGTTTTTCATACAGGCGGAGGAAGTCGGGTCCGTGTAAATTTAACGCCGGTTAATGCCGATGATATCTTCGGACACGTCGGATGATTTCCGGAGGGATAATTTACGAGGGGCGCCCACTAAGAACGCGTTTCCACGGCATAATGGAGCTTACTCGGCGGATATGTAAATCACCGCGCGTCTCCTTCGCACAAAGACCTTTTTTGCCCGAATCTCGTCCACCCTCTAACCGACCCTTTGCCAGCGATCGAGATTGATAGGAAGTGTATTAAAATTAATCCGACCCCCTCTCGTTGTCGCTCTTATCGCGTACCCCTTGCGGTGGCTGCACGATCAGAGCTTCTTTTTTTCTGTCTTTCTTTCTTGCGAGAGAGTAACAAAACAGCACGGAACAATGAGATTCTCGCTAAAAGCCTTGACTCGGGGTATCGGCCGAATTTCAGCTGATTCACAAGATCGACTTGCCGTAATCAAACGCGCGCCTCCCCCTCGAGCAAACACAATAAAAATCTCCGGAGAGCTTTCGAAATATAAACGTCATACAGCCGAGCCGATCATCGATCATATATTATGTGTGGGTACGGGCGAACAAACAAGGGCTGAAGCTCCCCGTCTCTCCTTCTTTTTTTGTTTTTTTCTTCCACGCCACCTAATCCCAATACACTTTTTTTTGGCCCGTGCTCGTGTGCGCACACCAGACGCACGGATTGTTCTTGTTTTTTGTGGCGACGCCTTCGCACGAAATTTATTATCCATCGAACGAAATGTGCTCGGCAAATATAAACGTACACACATATATATATATATATCTTTAAACGATGCTTTTGTGCGTATTATTATAACCACAGACGTGTTTNTCGAATATATATATATATAAACTCGAGTCTGAGCGATGGGCACACGTACCAGCCGGCCACGAGGATACACACTCGAGGATACACAATAGATGCATAAATATTTATGACAGGGGCCGAGTTGCAAATTTTCGTGTTTGGAAAGTCAATTTCGAAGATGATTAATCGTTTGGGGTGAGAGTGATTATTATTATTATTATTTTTGTTGTTGTTTTTTTGTGGCTTCTTTAGGGTAGGTTCTATCTCTCGTCGAGAGGGTTGTTTGTCAAACGGCTAACCAGAGTAATCCCAACAGAGCAATGGATTTGATGATGACTTATGAAAAAAAAAGCAGTTCCAAAGACTCACCGTTATGGACGAGAAGAGTCGAGTCCCTGGCGAGGTTGGTGAGCTCGCTGTCGGTGAGGGTCTCGTCGGAGGCGTTGCCCGAGGTCGGGGTGTCGCTGAGCCCTGCCCCGCTGCTTGGCACGTGGTATAAAGGATGCTGCTGTTGCTGCTGATAGGATCTCTTGTGCGTGCCCGAGTTGTAGGGGTTGGTGACGGCCGGGTGGCCGGGGTAGCCACCGCCACGGCCACCACCTCCTCCGCCGACCGATCTGTGGCTGGGTGGCGCGTTATTACTGCTCGTTTCCTCGCCCTCGCTACCGCTCAGGCTGTACGCAGGATACAGGCGTCCCTTCCCTAATAAGTGAAACGAAGTAAAAATTATTTTTCAATCATTGCATGGTTTTTTTTTTTTTTTTTTGAAAAATAAAAGATTTTCGTTGGAGCATAAACGCTATCATTTTACTCTATAAAAATGAATGTTGAGTTATGCAAAAAACAAAAAAAAAAAGTTTCATCTCATTCCCAAATGCAGCTCGGCTATGATTCAAGATAAACCACCGAGCTCGAGTCCTTGCAGTAAAAAGCAAAGTTGCAGCCAGATGTTGCCGTTAAAAAAATAAAAAAAAAAAAAAAAAAAGAAAAAAATATTCTCTTACATCGTGAATTTCAGAGTTGAATTTTTTTACATTGAAATTCAACCATCCGCGGGTTATATCGTACACTCTATACAATGAAGCCTCGAGTATAAATTTAATATCGCGGATCCTGAGAAATTCAAGATCCTTAATAAAACAAGATATATATTTTCAGAGCAATGAAATAACCACCAGTTCATGCTCGTTTACAAGTATAATACATTCACTTTGCAACATCAACGAGAGCAGTCTTCTACTTTTATGCTTCGGTCAATCACCTACATCAATTGAATATTGTACGCGGGAAGTACGGCATAAGTCGCTCCACCTACGCTCCTCGACTGTGATATTATCGAAAAAAATATTTGGCTTTTCGCGAGCAAAAGACGCCAATCAGTCAAAGGAGGAGGAGGGAAGGTGAGGCCGAAAGCTCCAGTATTCGCGATAAATCGAGCACTCGGAGCCTGTAATAATCGAACCAGCGCCAATTGCCAGGCTAACTGAAGACCCCTTATCTATACCTCCTCAGTGGGACCCGTGGGCAGGTAACTACAAGTGCAATCGTTCCAACCTGCTGTTTTGCGTTTAGCGCGGCTCGCGAGAGAACTGCCATTTGGCTGGACGAGCGAGAGCGCTGTGATGGAGGTTGTAAAGCGTTCGAGCGGCTGCGAGGAATTTTCGTACGCCTGTTTTTTTTTACGAGGAAGAGAAATCTTTGTGGTTTTTACGGATTTTTTTTTCTTTTTTATGCTAAAGACACTCGAGGCTTGAAATTTCCTTGGAGTGAGTTATGGCGCAAGGGAATAAGGATGCTTTGAAAGATGTGGCGAAAAGGAGAGCAATAGTAACGTTGTTTGGTGTACGATCAAAGACTGGTCATTCAACGAAACGAAAGGAGCAAAAGGATGTTTATTGCTGTAAATCAGCTGGCACTAACAACGTCGGCGCAGCTGCAATGCAGCGTAAAGAGCCCAAGAATACCTATGTACAGTCGAGAAGTACATTGATTCGAGTTATCCGCGCTCGCGACTCTCCAAGTACAGGCCATTACACTTTTAGCGCTTGCCAGGGGGTGGGAGAGTTGTGTGTGCCGGTTTAGCGGAAAATCGATCCCGAATTCTAGCTGCGAGCTCACGGGTCACTGGGTGAGCTTTACTTGGGTCGAGCTAGGCTTTTCCTACTCCTCGCGAGTCTTACGAGGCCCTTTCGCGGGAGTTTTGTTTTTACGAGCGGCCGTCGCACCCGAGGTATTTTCCCTCGGCCGATCTCGTATACTCCCTTTGGAAAAGAGGCGAGTCCGCCGTAAAAGTTGGGAGCTCGAGGATGTACGCACGGTTTTGTTAAAAAATTCAAACCTCTAATGGATTCGTTGAAACTTTGGAGTCTCGCTATCAAAAGCAATAGTGTTTAACTCCATCTTTCAAAGGTGATGCGATCATGTCAAACGGTTCATAAACACAAAAAAACTCCGTACGATCGACTTGTCTTTTTGTCGAACGATGAACAGCTTAGTATTGCTTTATTCATAAATGCAGTGGTGTAACTGAAACGATCGATATCCAGAAGGTAACGATCGTCATCATTATCATGACAATGATAGTCCTGCCAATGTGGCTCTCTTTCGTCGAACAAATTTGCATCGAGGTGCGACAAAGAGGACACACCCCTTTCTTCCTATTTTTTTTCTTCTTTCTTTATGCTTTTTTTTACGAGCTGGACGAATAATAAAGCGGGTCTCTGGAAATGCATCCGAGGCGCTTCTTAATTTGTAATGGGACAATGGTGCTCGTTTGCATTTAAATACGCCTACGAAGCGCATCGACAATATTTGAATGTAAGGAGTTTGGTGAAGAGCCTTTGTTGGCTACAAAAAATGATAATTACCCGAGAACGGTGTGGGCACGAAAATTTTCATATCCATGGCATGTCGTACCTATATATAAGCATCGAAGGCAAGGGCGCCAGCCAAGAATGTGTACAATGGCGCGCTCCTCCTATTGTAATCCGATAATGTATTCCGAATGTGTGAAAAGCTCAAAGAGAGCAGCAGCAGCCGTGGAGAAAGTGATAATCCACTCTCGATTGTTCCACGAAAGTGAGAGAGGAAGGAGGGAGGGAGGAATGTGAAAAAAGAGGAGCACCCACCGGGGGGAAGAGGGGGAGACCCACTGGATAGATTTTTCAGGCCAGAGTCGGCCTTTTTTTTCATTTTACTCGCTCTTAAGATAACAGTCTCATTTTCAATAAGATCCGGAGGGTGTTGGGTCAATAATATATGGCAGGCCTTTTTTTCTTCCTCCTCCTTCGCAGCCTATGAATGAATTACTCCCTCCCCTCCTTTTTCTTCCTCTCGGCACACAATGGAGAGCCGAGAGCGTGCGCTTTTCTTTTTTACTTTCTCCGATAGCGGAGGTGGTTTCCTCCACACACGAGAGTGCGGGTACGGGCGAGGTTCGAATAATATTTGAATAATATCGCCACCTCTGCTTACGGAGGTTGTCCTCGAGTGTTGAGCTTTTAAACCAGGTAATGGGATGGCGCGTCACGTTAAACGAAAATTCAATTTACGTATATGAGTCAGTAAGGGGATCAAAAATAATTTTTAATTTTACTTGATTCCAGATCTTACAACCACAGGGTTCACCAATCACATAAAGTTTTACATACATGTATTGGATGTAGTACAAGACATTTCATGTAATTTACAAAGGAGATAAAAAAAACAACGCCTTCTCGATTGTATATTTTGAAACACGCGTGCGCATAAAGTGTGTGTGCAAAATTTCAAATTTGACGTGAAGGTAGATACATACGATCAAAAACCAACGATCGTGGCGAATCTGATGGTTATTGCATGAGCCTGGCACGCGACGGGAGAGAAATGGGACAAGGCTCGGGCGGTGGTTGACACAACCACGGCCCGGGCGAAAGTTGAAGTTTGCAGAGCCGTAGCTTATATCTCGGGAGGGATCAAACACGCGCCCACCCTCCTCCCGGCAGTCAACTTGGGCTTTTCCAACTTTGGCATGTATCTCCCCGGAAAAATTGTCGCGCGCCTTATCGAGCCAACTTTTGCAATTTGGCGTCGATACAGGTGATGTCGATTAACTTTGATTTTCCACTTTGAAAGAAACCAACTCCTTCCCTATCTTTTTTTTTTTTATCCCGGAAAAACAAAATCGAGTTCCCATCCCGGCGAGGGAGCCAAAAAAGATGTACACACCCAGGAAAAGACACAGATAAAATTTCCACGCTCGCTTGGCCGCAGCTCCAAGCGAAGGGGAGCTTGTGTACACGCACGCGCGAGGGTCATAATTTTTATGGCCAAAAGAGGAGAGAAGAGCAAAGGGAAAAGAGTGGAGGTGGGTCGTGTAACCCAATTAGAAAATCACTAAACTCGTTAAGCGTTAAAACCCCCCGGGGGGAGGACTGGAGTTTGCTTAGCTTTCGCGGCGACTACGGTATCCAGAAACGGAGAACGGACGTGCGAGCACACAGAAAAGGAGGAGGAAAGTCCGGCGAGGGAGAGGATTTAATTCGGTTAGCACGGCCCTGTGGCCTCCTCCCGCTTCTCACCGTCTCGTTCGTTAAATGCACGCACGCGAGAGAGACCAAATCTAATTACAATGGGGGCAAACCTGCTTTGCACATCTTTTTCCTATAGGCTTGACTAGCTTGGTAGATGACCCTTCGACTAGAGGCCACCCGATCGGACGCACGTCACTTTTTCTTCACTCCGGCGTCCGTGTCTCGCCACAGATAACTTTTCTCCGCGTAAAAAACTCAAAGTACCGAGTTAACATCGAGAGGGCCAATTAGGGGCTCGTCTCCGTTTCCCCCGCTCTCGGGAGAGCATTTAAAATACTCGCTCGTCGGGGACGTATTTTTTCAAATTGAAAAAACAAGCCCGGCTCGACTAATTTCCCGGAGCGCTAATAGGTCCCCTCGACTGCGCGATTTGCTCCGAAAACATTTGAGAGACGGGGCGCGTCAGCCGGAAAGGGTTCTCGGGTTTCACGTATCGGGAGGTTCTCCGGAGAGGCTCGCCCTAACGACACCGGAAGCCAGCACCAAATATTATCGTTGGCACCGGCACACGCGCACGTGTTCCTCCTCCCCGGGTGCAGTGCCGCGGCTCGTTGGTTTCTCGTCGAGCGAGAGACGAAGGAGACGGAGCGGAAAAAAGCTCTCGGGACATTCGTCGTTAGCGATGAGGAATCGACACGCGCCGACAGACGTGGACCCTATACATGATCGATCGATCTCGGGCATCACTCTCGGATACCGATCTACCGATTCCCTTTTTTTTTTTTTTTTTTTTTTTAACGACCGAGATCGCGTCTGGCAGCAGAGAAAACTCGCGACATTCGCAGAGGCTGAAAGGGAGTCGCGCTCTGGAAAACCTCAGCGCGGCATCTGCATAACTCGTCCTCGGCTCCGTGCCCCTCTCTACGGACGAAAAAGACTCGCGAACCGGTTTTCCCGTCCCCCTGCTGGCGTCGACGACGACAACGACACCTTGGCAGATGCTGCTGTTGCCCTCGACCTCGAGCTTCTCTCTCTCTCTCTCTCTCTCTCTCTCTCTCTCTCTCTCTCTCTCTCTGTGTGCACTGCTGTTGACAAGTCACGGTCGCCCGTGGGAGCGATTAGTCTTGACTTTCGCAAAAGAGACGGGACACTCGAGGGGGTTGGAAGTAGAGAGAGAGGGCGACACTTGACGGCACGCGTCGGCAGCCGGTGTCAAAAGCATCGATCTTTCGCCTCCTTCCTTTTCTCTCTTCACTCCCTCTCTAATGTCAATGTGCGCAGGAAAAAAAAGGAGGAGATCCAGATGCGTTTGGGGTAAAAACAGCTAACGATTCTTGGAAATTTCGAGAGATGCAGTAACACGAAAGGGGGAGAGCGAGAGGCAGAGAAAGGGAGAGGGTGATGCTGGAGATTTAAGTATTGATTGACCAAGCTCATGTGTAACGATGATCGTTATCGTAGTAATGTGTTGAAAATTTTATGCTGATGCCTTGTACGGAAATAAAAATAAAATGAGTGTAAATTCATCGCGTAGTCGAATATTGTGTGTTAATTTGGGAGGAACTTGTACAGAGTTTCCCTTTTTTTTGTTATATAATTCCTACTCAGCAAATATTAGAGTTTATTTTTGTATCTTTCGTGTAATTTCCTGAAAACTTTAGTTTACGCAGCACTTTGAAGTTGGGATCGTTTTGTTTCAGTGCATTAACACCAAAGTCAGCAGTCAAATAACCCATCGTAGCACACCCAATACACGAAACATCTTGCAATCACCAAATAAAATAAAATAAAAAAACTTTTACCAGACGTATACATATACATACAGGCACATGTACAGCACAAGAAAAAAGTTCAACACCACATTCCGCGAGAAAAATCGATAAAAATACCCTCGTATAAATCATACGGTAATACCGCCGTTTAAATTCATCGCTCGGTCGAAGGCATCTTCGCAGAAATCTTTTTTTTTTTTTCTTTCTTTTTTTATTACCCACCTCCTGCATCCCTTCTTACAGCGGCCAATCATAAACCAAAGCAAAAGGTACAAAGAACGTGGAGCGCAACTTTTTTCCCGATGCGCGTCAACGTGTACGCGCGTGTGTGCGCGTGTGTACAAGTAAATACCCATATATATACACACAGAGAGAAACCGCTCGCGCGATCGCGGGTAAGTATACCCGCAACATACGTAAGTACAGCAAAGTCGCACTCGCGCACACGTGTACACCGAGGAAGTTGGAAAAATCCGCGAGCATCGAGCGAAGGGGGTCGGGAGAGGAAAAAACCGGAGGGGAAAGATCGGTAATTCAATCGATCGCCGCCGCTAAACGGGCTCGTTCCTTCTTCTTTTCCGCTCCCCCTCCCCCCCTACCCCTCTCTGCTTGCTCTCTCTGTCGTCGTCGTCGCGAGCGGCATTCTAGCACGTATTATCTCGTCCTTCCTCTTCTCCTCCTCCTCGTTCAGTCTCTCTGTGCGTCTCGTTTCCTCGAAAGCCCTTTAAGAAGACTAGTCGCGCACTTTTTTTGCTAATGGATAACAAGATCTCGCGGCCTTTGAGAGCACGGCTCGTACACGCACACACGTTATCGGGGACCAGTTGTATACGAGTATCTGACAAATGATATGAGTCCTTTTTCCTTTTACTTTTCCTTTTTTTTTTTTTTTTCGTTGAAAATAAAGGACGCACACACATAGATTAGGTACCTACTCGAGAGTCGCCGAGTGAATTATTGCCTGACGGATCTTTGCATTTTTCACGCATTACTTCCACTATATGGTCACGCGGATGATTCGAGCATCAGCCGCGCGGTATCGATCAGATCGGATATAAATTAATAGACTCGACAAATCGCTTTTGTTCGTCGAATCCGTGCTCCTCGAGCATTAGTTGAAAAATTAATCGGACTCGCCGGGATCTAATGAGGCCTTGGAATAATAAAAGAGGGCGATCGAGGGGTGCGGGCAATGAGCCTGGAATACCAATTACACAGCCGTCCGTCCATTACTCTCCTACTGGATGATCGCTCAAGTCAATTACTTACGGAGCAGTCGAGAGAGAGGGAGAGAGATGAAAAAAGGCAGGCGCGCGACTTTGCCGTTTAATTTATAGCTCGATATCGGGGCAGGTGTCCCGCATCGATGACCAGAGGCCATGGGACGCGGGAGAGGCAAAAAATCGGCAGGTAAAACCACCTTCCCTGCCATGACCCGCTTCTTTTTTTTCCACCTAATGATACCCTGTTTATCACAAGTTCACAGGACAAAAATGTACCACGTGCACGCGGCTTCAATGTCGACTCCCGCATGACCTTGCGTTACAAACGCGTAGTTTTTGTTCTCGCTCTTTTTGCCCGGACTCTCTCTGTCCATTGATTGATCTTGAAAAAAAAAAATCACGAGACGAGGAGAGTGAAAAAAGTATGCCAATTACGTCAGCTCGTGTTTGAAAAACGATATTCACGCGTGATATTCTTCAATGCAACCGCTGGAGCTGCGGTGTTGGGTTGTTACGATGTATATTTATTCATGGCTCCGCGATATTTTAAACCTAATAGCGCCGAGGACTTTCTCTCTTCGAGGATCCTTAGGTTACCTGTATAGAATAACAGTGCACGCACGTATACGCAGGCACATTTATTATTAATATTCATTTTTCTTTTTTTTTTTATGCATCGATAGACTTGGAAATATGGTGTCGACGAGATAGACGATCACTTCTTATTATGCACGAGAGGTAGGCACAAGGGGGATATATAAGTGGACAGATTATTATTAAACTCGGCACTCGATCAAATGCTCGCGCGTGTTATTCTATATCGATCGAAGCTAAATACTACAGGAATTACCGTCGTGCAATACAAGGTGCGACGATTAGGTTTAATTTTTTCCAAAGTAATTATTTTTTTCGTTTTCTTTTAGCATTAAATTTCTTTGATTACATCTCACGATAATAACGCCATTATTTTATTGAACGAACAACGGGTTATGATTAGCACTGTGCATTTGGTCGGATGATTCGAGCTTCGGTGAACTGTGTTACAACGGAGCAACAGGTGGCTGTGCATTACACGGCTTCAATGAGCACTTCGCGCGATGAAAATTCATATTTCACTGATGGACCAATTACAAAGTTCTTGGTGTATATAATACCCGTGCCTGAAGACCATTTTACGCTGCATACTCGGTGCAAGTGAGCGCAAAGTGTGAAACACCTACAAGTTTCATCGGTCTCGTTAAAGAGAGAAGCCACTTTACAGAGAATCGTAAAATTTTCCTCAATGATTGCGTGTGAATGAATCAGCCGTGATATCAACTAATCGGGACCCATTACGATGCCTTTGCACGAAAGTGTACAGCCCAGAGTCCATAAAACGCTCGCACTCGCGACGCCTATCTTTGTTAATCGGCCTCCAATAAAAGACTCCGTAAACGTAAATAAAACGACGCAAAAAAAAAATATTCTCTTTCACCGTGATAAAAGCGTAAGATCATCGAACGATTTGCCGTAACGCTTCGTCATTACTAGTGATTGATGCCATTGTTGCGTAAGGAAATAGCCGCGTGCGTACGGGCTTGATTAGGTATCAATTTCACCCGGGCGATTTTGTTTCATCGGAATAACTCTTTTATAAACGACGCGGGGGGAGAGCGCACCGCGTGTTGTGTCCGTGGATTATACACACACACACACACACACATATCTCCATAATAGAGGCCCGTGAGGCCACGCAGGGGAAGATGGACGCGTGGAATTTGAAAAATCGTTACTCCAGGATTTATCGGCTCGATTTACCTTAAACTGTATTATTTCATAGCCGAGGCCCCACGAGGCTAATGATAGGGTGCCGGGGCGTGTCTACCACGGATATGGGCAATAACGCGCCCCGCATCATCGTCCAGCAGCACGCCCTTCACACTTTCGATCCCATATTAGATGATATCGAGTGCTCGTGGGGTATATTTTTGTACTCGGAGCACCTACCGTGTGTATATATGCCGTGTACCGGCTTGGCCTCGATTTTTATGTAAATACTTTGCACGAGCCGGTAATTAAACGGGCCGAAAGAAAGGGCGAACTAAACGTCAGCACCTCGGCCCCCACGACGCTACATTTTCGGTATAATCACATGGAACAAAAAGGCCTTGCAAGTATAGGTTTAAGAGGAGGGAGGGATAATAATGCATTTTAATAACTTTTAGTGCTGTATATGGCACTTGAAACTTTTCTCGTAACAAAGGATTAGTTATAGAGTTATATAGGGCCCATATTTGATCTAAATACACGAGCACACCGATTGTGCAATCGAGGAACGTCATCAAGCAAAGTGCCAGAACTTAATGTGTTTCAAACTCTTGTTGAGCAACAATTCCTAATACTCGACTCTACAATACTTGTGTCTAATTGGATTACACGACGGAGGCAAAGCACTGTTTGATAATGTATACCAATAATAATCATAGTAAAAAAAATCAAATTTAAAAAAAGTATCAACATTTCCTTGAGGGTTTGAAATATTTCTCAGTTCAGAAATTCTCTAATACGTCAAATTTGTGGTCAATCGATAGATCATTTATTGTTCTTTAGCAACCTGTGGTTTAGCATAGGTGTATTGCACCATTGGCACTCTTTAATAGAGAGTTGGGGCTCGATCGTTGCCTGTAAGAGCATTGTGAAATTTTTCACTTGTTCGACTGAGATATCAACATGTGCGTACAACTTGGAAACTTTACACCAACATAGCGCAACTCAGAGGCAATACAATCGTGTCAGTGAAATGAAATAGGTGTACAAACAGAAAATCAAACATTTTCCAAGAACCCCTAAAATAAACAAATTTAAAAAAAAAAGGGGGGGGTACAAAAAAAGCTTAATCAATATCACCTCGGCAGCAATAATAAATCCTTCCTACCCGCAATAACAACCGTCACTCGCTCGATCGGTGCCACGGTTCCGTGTGTATACCCCCTCACCTGTCGTAAAAAAAAGCCAGCACTGCACGGAGGAAGAAAGACAGCGCGCTCGAGCTTTTCCGCGGGTCCTCGGGTTCTCGTAAAACGAGACAATAGCCGCGCTTTTCCAGCTAGCGATTTATCGCGCCCGTCGACGCTCCATCTCCGTCCATTCTCATATAATAATAATAAAAACAAAACGAGGAGCGGAAGAAGAAGAAAAACGGAGGGAATCATGAGCGCCATCAACGCGTATAGCTGCCGCCACTCGTCGCTGGCGTCCAAGGTCGGGGCGTTTAGAGGAAATTATGGAGCTTTTTGCTAACTTCCCCCCCTGACCCCCGTCTCTATTTCACCCCGTATCTTTTTTTCCTTGCGCTTCTTCTTTACTTTATCTTTCTGCTCCCGGTCGACCCATCTTCTCTTCGCCGTACTTTATGGTCCGCGGCTCTCTCCATTTGCAGCGAGCGCGTAGGTGCAGACGATGCTGCTGTTATATGCCTCATCTTTTTTACTCGACCCCTCCCCCCTCCCGTGTATATTATTGCTGTACATTATCTTGCTCGATACTCGCTTTTGCATGATTTTTCGCAAGGAGCTCGTGGTTACATTGCTCACGTCTATCGTGATAATTTAAGGGTTATTCGGGATGCAGTTGTTTCGCCATACTGTTACAACACTTTACGTTGCTGATTGGTATTTTATTTTATTTTTTTTTTTCCCAACGAGCAATCGTCAGGGGATAAACGAGATGAGGAGCAATCGCTCGAGTTTCCATCGATCCACT